TTGCCCAACCTTACTTGAAACAGCATTATGGTTCCTAAGAATCCCAACATACCAGAAAGTCAAGGGGACCCCGTGTCTCTTAGGAGTATAAATTTTGTTTCTGTTTGTTTTATTTTTTTCTCAAATTTTCCTATTCATGAAAATCATCCCTTAGGCCACTTAATAAAAATATAGATTCCTAGGTATCTCCCCCTGAGGATTCTTTTCCTTATTTTAAAGATTGGCGATTGACTGAGCTAACAACTGTTGCCAATCTTTTTTTTTTTTTCCTGCTTTTTCTCCCCAAATCCCCCAGTACGTAGTTGTATAGTCTAGTTGTGGGTCCTTCTAGTTGTGGCGTGTGGGATGCTGCCTCAGCATGGCCTAATGAGTGGTGCCACGTCTGCGCCCAGGATCCGAACCGGCAGAATCCCGGGCTGCTGAAGTGGAGCGCGTGAATTTAACCGCTCAGCCATGGAGCCGGCCCTCCCGCCCCGAGGATTCTGAAACCCTAAATCTGGAATGGAAATTTGTAAACACACAAAGTCTAGATATAAACTTATAAATCTTGAGTTCAGTCAAGTCTCTGCCTCTGATTAGATCCATGACATTGGTCAGGCCAGTTGGCTTTTCATCCATAATACAGAGATAAATAGGGTTGATGTGAGAATAAAGTAAGAGCAGGGGCCAGCCCGGCAACAGGTTATGTTCCTGTGCTCTGCTTTGGCGGCCCAGGGTTCGCTGGTTTGGATCCTGGTGTGGACCTATGCACCGCTTATCAAGCCATGCTGTGGCAGGCGTCCCACATACAGAGTAGAGGGAGATGGGCACAGATGTTAGCTCAGGGCCAGTCTTCCTCAGCAAAAAGAGGATTGGTGACGGATGTTAGCTCAGGGCTAATCTTCCTCAAAAAAAAAAAAAAGCATTATACCTAAAGTACCCAGCACTGAGCCCAGCACATTGTGGGTACTTATTGAGTCAAACCTGAGCTCTTAAAAGTTGGGGCTTAGGTCAGCACGATAAAGTCTTCGTTTTTCTTTAGGGTTCACCGAATAACCATAGACATGAGTCTCCTTCCATCCCTACCCCAGACACATCACGTGATACTCTCTTTTCCCCTTATACTGCTTTACTTTTGATGTGTCTGTTGACTCTCACATTCTCTGTTGATGTAGGCAAAGAGGTGCTGGATGAGATAGAGTTTTGAGGGATATATAGACAGCATTTCAGCTCCCTAACTGAGAGACCTTCTCTGGACTTGATTTCTCTACTTGAATTCTTAACACCTGGAAAGATTTTCTCTCTTTTTTTCCCAGTTTTATTGAGATATAGTTAACATACATCACTGTATAAGATTAAGGTGTACAGCATAATGGTTTGACTTACATATATTGTGAAATGATTATATCCATCCCCTCATATAGATACAATAAAGAGAAAAAAACGTTTTTTTCCTTCTTGTGATGAAAATGCAGGATCTATTTTCTTAACAACTTTCATATATATCATACAGCAGTGTTAACTGCAGTCATCATGTAGTATGTCAGATCCCTAATACTTGTTTATCTGGTAACTGGAAGTTTGTACCTTTTGACCAGCTTGCTCCGGTCCCCCCAGCCACACATCCACCTCTGGTAACTGCAAATCTGACGTCTTTTTCTACGAGGGGTTTTCGGGATTTTTAGATTCATGTATCAGTGAGATCATACAGTATTTGTCTTCTGTCTAATTTATTTCCCTTAGCATAATACCCTCAAGATCCATCCATGTTGTCACAAATAGCAAGATTTCTTTTTTTTTATGGCTGAATAATATTCTCATGTGTGTGTGTGTGTCTATATATATATATATGTGCACCACAACTTCTTTTCTTTATTCATTCATCTGTAGATGGGCACTTAGGTTGTTTCCATGTCTTGGCTATTGTGAATAATACTGCTGTGAACATGGGAGTGCAGGTATCTTTTTGAGTTAGTGTTTTCATTTCCTTTGGCTATACTCCCAGAAGTGGAATTGCTGGATCATATGGTAGTTCTATTTTTAATTTTTTGAGGATCCTCCGTACTGTTTTCCATAGTGGCTGTACCAATTTACAGTCCCACCAACAGTGTACCAGGCTTCCCTTTTCACATTGTCGTTAGCATTTTGTCTCTTGTCTTTTTGATAATGGCCATTCTAACAGATGTGACATGATATCTCATTGTGGCTTTGATTTGCCGTTCCCTAATGACTAGTAATGTTGAGCATCTTTTCATGTACCTGTTGGCCATTTGTCTAGCTTCTTTGGAATAATGTCTATTCCTGTGTATTGTCTAATGTCTATCCCTGTCCATTGTCTACTGTCTATTACTGAATGTCTATTCAGGTCCTTTGCTCATTTTTAAATTGGATTATTTACCTTTTTGCTATTAGGTTGTATGAGTTCTTTATATATTTTGGATATTAACATCTTTTCAGATACATGATTTGCAAATAATTTTTCCCATTCCATAGATTGTTTTTTCACTTTATTGATTATTTTTTTTGCTCTGCAGAAGTTTTTTAGTTTGATGTAGTCCCACTTGTTTAATTTTTCTTTTCTTGCTTGTGATTTAGGTGTCATATCCAGAAATTGTCACCATTGAGCTTCCTCTGCATACCTGTCCATGAGTTTGCTTGTTCTCTGCAAGAGAGAGGGCTCTGGCAAGTGGAATTTCTGGAGTGCAGGCACAAGGGATTAGGCTTGAATATGTTGAGAGCAGGAATGGTGTCTAGTTCATAGCTGTTGCCTCAGGACCAACAAAAGGTGTTTAACAAATACTTAGTGATTGGATGAGGCTAAATTACAAATCCCAACTATGTAGGTGTTCAGGGGACCTAATCAGCTCCCTTTGCTTTAGTTGAGGAACCAAGTAAATGGGGAACTCTGTCTGGCCTTGCAAGACACATCAGGGACTGCCATGGACCTGAGGGGATAACGTCAAGACACAGAGGCATTTGCTGTTGGTCCTTAGGGCTCCTTCCATTCTGCTGCTCTAAGTCCCTGCAGCTTGAGTCTAAGAAAGTACTGAAAAGTTTCAGCTGCCTCCGCTTTCCCCTGACTTCTTGGGTGGAGCGTCCACAGATGTTGTTTCCTTTGAAAGATCTCTTGCCAAGAATAGCATTTCTTGAGGGGAGGGGCGTTTAATTCGGACGGTGGATGGAATGTGGCTTGTCTTTGTGTTTTTGAATATATTGCTAGCAAGACAGCTGCGGGGGCTGGAAAAGCTCTTGGGGTTCACTTGTCTCATGGGGAGAGTGCTGGTCTCTAGAGTGTGTGCTGCTCCCATGACTGCAGCCTCTCAGGCTTCTCATTAGTGGGAAGTCAGAAATTTGGGAAGCATTCTTCAGATAGGATCAACTTGGCTTTCCATTTTTTTTAATTCCTAAAGTTTGTTTCTATTCAAAATAGACATGTGTTTGCATGAGTCATCTACTTGCTTATTTGCATATGCAATATTGTATGTGAGTATTTTAAGTTTATTGCACCCGTAAAATACATTCAAAGGCTCAATCCATGGGGCCGGCCCCATGGCCGAGTGGTTAAGTTCGCACCCTCCGCTTCAGCTGCCCAGGGTTTTGCCGGTTCGAATCCTGGGCATGGACATGGCACCGCTCATCAGGCAACGCTGAGGCGGCTTCCCACATGCCACAACTAGAGGGACCCACAACTAAAAATACACGACTATGTACCGGGGGGCGTTGGGAGAAAAAGGAAAAATAAAATCTTTTTTTTTTTTAATTAAAAAAGGCTCAATCCAGAGCTCAGAAGATCCATCTCTTGCTGCTGAAATCAAACCTTGTTCAAACAAATATCGGGGATAGATGGCTTGCTCTGGGGGTACGTGGCAGGGACTCAGTGAACACCTTCATGGTTGGTGGCTGATTTCCGTGAGGACCTGATAGCCCAGGGTTCAGGGCTCGTATGAAGTTCAAGTGAACTGAAATCAGCAGAACAGACTACACAGCAGTCCAAAGAATCCCCTTCAGCAGTCTGCACCGGCACAGCCAAGAGCTACTTCTTTAGAAGTTTTGAAAGCCATCATGAGGAGACATGCCTAACCCACTAGAAGATGCTGCTAAATTCATTTATTCCGTCAGTATTGATTGAGCACCTACTATGTGCCACCTACTCCCAGGTCTGCTCTGCATCCAGAAGTTGGAGAGGAGTTTTTTTTTTTTTTAATTTTATTTTTCCTTTTTCTCCCAAAACCCCCCAGTACATAGCTGTGTATTTTTATTTGTGGACCCTTCTAGTTGTGGCATGTGGGACGCCGCCTCAGCGTGGCTTGATGAGCGGTGCCATGTCCACACCCAGGATTTGAACTGGTGAAATCCCGGGCCCCCGAACAGGGTGCGTGAACTTAACCACTTGGCTACGGGCCTGGCCCCTGGAGAGGAGTTTCCATAATCTAGAAGTTCCTGTCGATCTGAGGCTGGTGGTGAGATGAGTCTGCCGGAGAGCCTGGCAGCAAGTTTCAGAAGAGCCTAAGGGCCATGTCTCTGGTTTCCTCAGATAAAACAGGCATAGCCTTGGGACTTCCATGAAAAATCAGAAGGTCCCAAGTCTGAAAAATGAGAAGGTGGAGGGTGGGTAGCCAAAGGTTTTTGGTCAGGAAACAGTAGGAAACCTGTTACAGTCAGTTTAACCTCAGCTGCACATAGAATCATCTGAGTTTGTCAGAATAGATTCCTGGGTTCCACCCCAGACATACTCCTAAGAATCTGCTGGCGATGTCTGGGCATCTGTGTATTTCACAATCTGGTGATAATGATCAGACCTGGAAATCACCAGATCTGGTGGGGAATGAGGGAACATTACTTCTTATTCAAAATGAAGCAAAAATAAAACAAAAACAAGCAAGTTTGAAAATTTCAGTTTTCAATAAAAGACCAGGAGTCTTTTACTGAAATAAATAAAAGACCAAGAGACTCAACTGGAAGTAGCTAAAAGCCCCTGTTAGCACCGCCCCATCCCACCCCACCCCCCCAGTCTAGCAGCTTTGTCAGTACCCAGTCAGATTTGGTTGTAATTCCAGAGGCAAACCCATCTCGGTTCCCCACCTCTAACTCTGCCTCCTAGAGTCTGATTTTCAAATTTTCAAAATTTCAAAATAATCCACAGGCCCACCCAACAGAATTTACTCCTTTCTCTGACTGTAAACAAAATCTCAGGGAATGAGAGTTGCTTTTGATTAGGACATTTGGGGAGAGTTTTCACAAGTTAATAATTTGGGGCCATGAATAAATGTGGATAAGCTAGTGACGTGACAGTCAAAAGAAGTATTAACATTTACTGGGTTATTAGGGCCTAATGCTGTTAACCGGGCACGCTGGGGAATCTTTTGCCTTTAAGGAACTGATGCTGCAACTGGAGAAAGGCAACTTCACCACATAAAGTGATCAGAAACAAGATCTTATCTGCCAAATGCCAGGTAGGAGTGAAGGCCATAGAAAGAGCGCCGGAGATGGAGTCAGGTGACCTAGGTTCGCCAATCTCTAAGCAGTCTTGATTTCCTGTCTGTAAAATGGGGAGAATGAGATCAACCTCCAGGAGTTATAGTAACAGCAAAGTGCCTTCCCTTGAGTGTCCAGGGGGTCTGAAGGGTCGTGCCCACTGACCTTGGGTCTGGAAACCCAGGGAGACCTGGAGCCACCTCCATCTTGAACTTCAGTCCTGTTTGCAATCCTGTGGAGGAAAGGGGCATTGTTCCAAGCCTAGAGGCCCTGGAGGGGCACAGTGGAGTTTGTTCAGGCTCCTGTGAGGCCCCAGTGAGATCCTGTGGCTGTGCCCCCATCGCCCCAAGCCCCTCTTGCCCTCCCACAGGCTGCCTGACTGGTATGAATCAACTTGGCAGAGCTCTACAGCAAGGCCCTGCAGAGGGTGTGGCCAGTGTAGCCACTGCCTTGGGGACGGGGGTGGGGAATTAGCTTCATGCATTCCAGTGCGGGCACATTTGTCCTGCTGAATGTTCAGAGACAAACCTGGAATCCAGTTTTGTCAATCCAATCAAGAAACCATTTCTTGAACAACTTCTTGTGCTGAGGACTGACCTTCAGAAGAAGACATGCTAAACTAGGTGCTGTGGAATCTTAGCTGTGAATAAGAGGCCCCTTAATGAAGGAGTCTATGCTCACTTTCAGGGAAACGCTGTAAACTATCTTTTTGGATAGTTTGATGCATTGAATGCAGCCCTTCCGCTGTCCCCTGCTCCCCACTTGTCCACTGTGGAGGAGCTAAAGGATCACTTGGGGGGTTGGCCCACCCCTAATTACTCCAAATACAGTCTAGGTAAATGGGGGAGCTTATTATGAAAACTAGATAGAGACGGAGCTGCCTTTGCAGTGCCCTCAGAAATGGCTGGCAGAGCCATTCTCAGCACTCGCTGTGACCCAGGCAAAGTGAGAGGCCTGTGTCCTTGGAGATGGGGCTGAGGGCAGAGGGTCTCTTTTCTGTGTCCCCAGGAACTCCTGTAAGTGCTGTGTCAGATCTCACGTTACGCCAGGACAGGTCCCGAGTCATGGGGAAGCCCTGGTTGTGTGATCTTGGGTTACATACTTCATTTCTCTGGGCTCATGTCTCCATCTGTAGACTGAGGAATTGATTGGTCTTCAACACTGATATTTATCACAGGCTTTTTTTTCTGGTAATAAAAATTGGCCCTGAGCCAACATCTCTTGCCAATCTTCCTCTTTTTTTTTTCTTTTTTCTCCCCAAAACCCCAGTACATGGTTTTATATCCTAGTGGTAGGTCATTCTAGTTCTTCTATGTGGGATGCCACTGCAGCATGGCTTGATGAGCGGTGTGTGGGTCCGCGCCCAGGATCCGAACTGGCGAGCCCTAGGCCACTGAAGCAGAGTGCACGAACTTAACCACTCAGCCATGGGGCTGACCCTGAAGGCTTTTTTGTCTAATGTTTGTCCCCCTACATCCACATGCACTCCAGTCACTACCACATCATTCGGTTTTACTAAGTTTCGTAAGAAGAGTGTTTTGTCAGAGCAAATGTGTTCTGGAGAGGCAGTGGGGTAGCCCCTTAAAACAGCCCAGCCTACCTGGGATCCAGGACTTTGTTCAGGGGATTCCCACCATTAACTTGCTGGGTGCCCTCGATCAGAAGTTCTGGCTGATCCTCTGGGTGTGTGGCTCCCTCCTACTCCACACTCCAAGCAGGCTGGGGACACGTGGCCCTGCCCCGCCCTTGTTGGCTCCAGTTTCTGAATTGGAGCTGCAGTGGCCTGCTTTCCCCGCCCTTCCCATCAGTAGAGAAGCCTGGGTTGTGGGCTGGGGAAAGCCAGAGCCTCTCCCTACCTGGCACCCACTGCCCCCAGCCCTTAGGCACCTGCTCTGGGCCCTGGAGGCCCTTAAAGCCACCAGCAAAGCCCTAGAAGACCGCGTCCTGGTACGTGAACAGGTAAGAAGGCAGTCGGTTTTCTCTCACATAGTTTCTTTGCCGGACTTCTCCACCCCAATTTAGCTGCTTCCTTCACAGATCACAGTAAGAGGGATTTGAGCTAGACTTGAAAAAGACAGTCCCGGCCAAGAAGCTCGGAACTATGTGTCAGAGAAATGGTGTGAGTTCTCTGCTCTGGGTTTCATTTTTAAACCTTTGCTTTCATCAGCCTTGCAGGAAAAAAGCTGATGAAAATAACCATAAAGCAAGCTACTTCTCTCTGTGTTCCCTTCTGAGTTTTGTAAACTAATAAAACCACATTCTTTTTTTTTTTTTTTTTGAGGAAGATTAGCCCTGAGCTAACATCTGCTGTCAATCCTCCTCTTTTTGCTGAGGAAGACTGGCTGTGAGCTAACATCTGCACCCAACTTCCTCTCCTCTATACGTGGGACGCCTGCCACAGCATGGCTGGCCCTAAACCCACATTCTTAAATGGTTGTCATGGGTTACTGGGGGCTGTTCCACTGTATATTGCTTAGGTCTTCAGACCTCGACATACTATGTGCATGAATTATCACATGCATGAATTACCTAATCAAAACTAATTGATTTAAAATTATTTAGAGGAAAGGAAAAAAATAAAATGGCGTAAGCCTTTCTCATTCAGAGAGTATTCTAAAATTAAAATGAAGTGTTCTGCCTTTACATTTTGCATTTAATTTAAGTGCACATAAACCAACTAACTCCATGTCACTTTTAAGGTCCATGTATCTGCCACGTTAACGAACTCTTCTGAGGATGTGCAGCCTTTGTCCCTTGATTATGACGTTGGATTGCTTCCAGGTGTTTTGCAATTAATAATTCAACTTTTATGGACAACTCTGTGGAAATAACTTTTTCTAGTGTTTTAAATTTTTTCCCACTCCTTGGATTTTTATTCTCCATCCAGAATGAATACTTGGGGCAAAGGACAAGAACATTTTTGTAGTTCAGCTCATGTTACATGTAGGTTCAGCTGACTCATAGGAATTATGAGACTAATTTCCTAATTTCCAGGGCCGTGATCGCATGAGGGGGTGGGTGGGGAACTTGTTTTCTCTGGGGATTTTTCAGGAAGGGGGGATGGAGGCAGTCCACCATAGTGGTTAGGACTTGACCTTTGAAGGCAGGCTATCCTGGGTTTGTTGGCATAGCTGCCTGACCTTGAACTCTCAGCTAATAACTTCAATTAATTCACATGTAAAATACAGACTATAAAACTTCGTAGGCGTCCAGGAAAGGCTGCGATAGTGTTTGTAAAGCACTTAGTATAGCTGGCGCTGGAGGGTTCTTTCAAGCCCGGGGGCCATCCCTGGGCCATTTTACAAGATGGGCAGAATAGAGAAGGTCATCTCAGGAGCATCTTGATCTCTTCCCCTCTTCTTATCTAATCTCCTGTTAGGGGATTTTTTGTGTTAGGCCCCTATATGTGCTAAGGCTGGAGAGCTGCGCACTGGGGGATGGCAGGTCAGCTTGGCCTCTTTCTGAAGTTCCCCCAGACTCTCAGCCTCCTCCTGCCATCAGATCTGGATGCCACCCTTCCCGTCTCTCAGCCACCTTCCTCAAAGCACAGGTTTAAGGGATCCTTGGACAGAGTGAAGAATTCCCCAGAAGTCTGTGGGCTTTTGTTCCCCACCCTGGTAGGATACTGGGAGGCTGCATACACAGCACAGTGAATGAGCACATGCTGGTGAGGCTGGGTTCCAATCCTGGCTGCACCAATAACCAGGAGTAGGCAGTCATTGGACCTCTCTGAGCATCAGTTTCCTCGTCCGTATAATGGAAATGTTAATACCTGTGCCATAGAATTACATGAGACAACATAGGTAAAGCAGCTGGCACTTAGGGACCCATTACTGTGGAAGGTCAAAGCCATGTTCCAGAGCCCTTGGGAAGGTACAAGAATTAGCCATAAAAGATAGAAAACCCATGTGTTCATTTTCTTGGTCAACAAATATTGGGGTGGCTGGCCATGGTTCTGGAAACTAGGGAGAGAGATACTTAAGACAGGCTCCCTGCTCCTGATAAAGGCACACAGCCCATCCTGTGGGCACAGAGGAGACTGACTGAGGCTGCCTGGGCGGTCCAGGACAGCTCCTCGCGTAAGGAGGAAGAACAGTCTATAAGGCAGTGGGAAGGAAGCTGGAACAGCAAGTACGAAAGCTGAGTCAGTGGGGAAGGGTGGGAAGTTCAAGAGGGCTGCAGGGCTGGATGAAGGGAGGAGAAGGAGAGACAGGATGAAGGGAATTGGCGGGGACCAAATTTTGAAGCACCTTGAAGGTCCGGTGAGAATTTCAACTTCATCTCAAGGATGTGGGGATTTGAGTGGGTTTTGGAATGCCTGTTCTGGCAGCTTTGAGGGGTGAGAGATAGTGTTGGAGGCCTGGAATGCCCCCAGCCTTCCACCCCATCTCAGGGGCTTTGACGGTACCCAAAATAAATAAATGCAGAGAGTGGGATTCTCAGGATAGGCTTGGCGTGGGGGAGCCTGGCCTGGGAGTTGGAACCTTGGGTGGGGTTCTGGTCCCTGCTCCTCCACCACCAGAGTAAGTGGGTCTCCTCTCCTGCCTCAGGTGAGGGTTCAGGGCAGGTAGGCATCTTACAGCTGTTTCCCTCTGGGTGTCTGCAAAATGTCTCCGGGGGCCACAGTGCCCGCCTCCCACCCCCAGGCGATACTGTGCTGGCCAGCCATGACCCAGCCTTGAGAGGAAGAGGCATCTTGTCTGAAACGGACAGTTTGGCCTTTTCACCCCAAGAGACTCCATGGAGGTCTGAGAACCGTGGCCTCCAGGCCTGTGACAGTCCCGGGGGTGGCTCTGGGCTCCAGCTGTCCTGCACAATTGTGCTTGAGGGTCATGTCTCGCAATTGGGGGGTGGTGTCCCCTGGGAACTGAGCTGCAGTTAGCCTGGGAACCTACCTCCAGAGCTTCCCAGGGGCTGCTGGGAAAGTTCTGTCTGTGCATCCCAGCCAGGAAGGGCCCAATAGCCATGCCTGGAGAACCAGCCAGGCCTTCCCCCTTGGAGCCATCTCAGGTAATGGGGAGGTGGATGAGTGGGGCCATGGCTACAGTTAGCAAGGCTGAGGTCAAGGCAATGACTTTGAAAGGCCAACAAGAAGTGAACTTGCCTGGCAGCTATTCGGAAAGGTCATGCCCTGCTTTAAAGCTTTCCGGGTGCCAGTTGCTTGTCCTAACACGGGAAAGTTCACATTTTGGCCCAGGACTCTCCCATCAAGTGCAAGTCCCCACTTCTGGCTTTATCACCCACATGCCTCCTCAGTCCTGCCTTCTCTCCAGCCACACTGCCCTTCCCTCTTTCCCAAGAGCCTGAACTTCCCTGCTTCCTTGTCTTCCTGCTTTCTCAGATCGTATAAAATCTCTTTGTAAGCATTTTTTTAAACCATCTTAATCATTTTTAAGTGTATAGCTCAGTGATATTAAGTACACTTACATTGTTGTGAAAGAAATCTCCAGAACTTTTTCATCTTGCAAAACTGAAACCCTATACCCATTAAACAATAACTCCTCCCTCTCTTCTTCTCCCCAGCCCCTGGAAACCACCACTCTACTTTCTGTTTCCATAAATTTGATTACTCTCGGTATCTCACATAAGTGGAATCATACAGTGTTTGTCTTCTTGTGGCTGGCTTATTTCACTTAGCATAAGGTCCTCAAGGTTCACCCGTGTTGTAGCATGCATCAGAATTTCTTTTCTTTTTTTTCTTTTTTGGGGTGAGGAAGATTGGCCCCGAGCCAGTATGTGTTGCCAATCCTCTTTTTTGCTTGAGGAATATTGTTGCTGAGCTAACATCTGTGCCAATCTTCCTCTGTTTTATGTGGGATGCTGTCACAGTGTGGCTTGATGAGTGGTGCTACGTCCGTGCCCAGGATCTGAAACTGCGAACCCCAGGCCACTGAAGTAGAGCACGCAAACTTAACCACTATGCCACCAGGCCGGCCCCAGAATTTCCTTCCTTTTTAAGGCTGAATAGTATTCCATTGTATATATATGTACCATATTTTGTTTATCCACTCATCCGTTGACAGATGCTTGGGTTGTTTCCATGTTTAGCTATTGTGAATAATGCTGTTATGAACATGGTTGTACAAACATCTCTTCAAGATCTTGCTTTCAATTCTTTTGGGTGTATACCCAGAAGTGGAACTGCTGATCATATGGGAATTGTTTTTAATTTTTGGGGGAACCTCCATGCTGTCTTTCATAGCAGCTTCAGCATTTTACAATCCTACCAACAGTAGAGAAGGGGTCCAGTTTCTCCACATCCTCATCAACACTTCTTGTTTTCTGTGTTTTTTTTTTTTTTTAATGATTGGCACCTGGGCTAACAACTGTTGCCAATCTTTTTTTTTTTTCTGTTTTATTTCCCAACCCCCCCCCCCCCACCCCTGTACATAGTTGTATATCTTAGTTGCAGGTCCTTCTAGCTGTGGGATGTGGGATGCCGCCTCAACGTGGCCTGACGAGCGGTGCCATGTCCACCCCCAGGATCTGAACCCTGGGCCGCCGCAGCAGAGCGTGCGAACTTAACCACTCGGCCACGGAGCCAGCCCCTCTGTGTTTTTGATAGTAGCCATCTTAATGGGCATGAGGTGATACATCATTGTGGTTTTGATTTGTATTCCTCTGGTGATTAGTGATGTTGAACATCTTTTCATGTACCTGTTGGCCATTTGTATATCATCTTTGGAGAAATGTCTATTCAAG